AGCCGGATTGTATAAAATGGATTAAAAAAAAACGATTATTAACGAGCTGCAGTTTTATTACATCACGCGCTGGCACAGATGCAGTAACGCCACGGGTCATCAGTAAGGTGCAGATTTGGTCCTCAATTTATGTTTCCAACTAAAAACTACTTAATTACTGTAACGTGAGTATTTGTAATTCGTTACTTCACACCCCTGTAATTAACCAACATATTAAATAGAGGGGGAAAAAATCCACATTAAAAAATGTCAAGTGTCAGCGTCTTTAGTGCCTTACTGATTTCGGAAAGTGGTTATTATATGGTTAAATGATGAAGACACTAATTTACATACTTTACCCTCAAGTAGTTACAAACCTGTATGAGTTAGTTTCTTCTGTGGAGCACAGAAGAAGATACAGTATTTTGAAGAATGTTGGTAACCAAATAGTTGACAGTAGCCATTGACTTCACATTCGCATCATTTCTAACATATTTGTTGACAGAAGTTTACAGCATTTCACTAATATTCTGCCAAAACAAAAGCTGGAGGATTTGGCATGTTAACAGCTTAAGAGTTTGAATGTTGGAAGACATAAATATTTAAGACAATGTATTGGAGCTTGTAGTGGTTTTTGTGAAGAGTGAAACAAGGTATGAACATCCAAAGAAACTTTCCATTAGCAGAAGAGTCTTTGTTCTTTGTGTTTGGATGTCTCAGCACAGCAGTAGCTAGACTTTTCATACGAATTAAATGTAATATCAGTTCAAATCGCAACATATGCCAGAGATGAATTTAATTTCAAGGGGTACAAGTAAATAATATTTCACTTCTAAGGGCTTCGGTTGACAAAAAAAAAAAAAGTTTAGGTTCCCTTGACCTAGATTAATAAATACTGTTTAAGCACAGTAATGACCTAGTTACAGAATTGTTACAGTTAAATTCACCAATACAGTAACACTATTAATAAACATTAATAGTAACATAAATCTTTGTTAAAATACCTTTAATCATTAATAAAACTCTGTAATGATAATATTATATAACATTATATATAATAATAAAAATAGAAAATTGCCTCATGCAAACCTTTGGTCTTGATATTCTCATATTTGTTGCACGTTTATGGCCATTAATAAGCCAGCGGTCTGTTACTGGCTACTGCCTTCATGTTTCAACCTGCTAAAAGACTATTGTTATTTTAGAGCTGCTTTACAGCAGAATTTTGATTTGACAAAGTTTGCATCATTGATTCTATTGCTTCCCTGTTTACTGTAAACACTGTTTTGAAACCGTCTCTATTGCATGATGCACTATACAAATAAAGCTGAAGTCAAATAAGTAGCACCATGAAATCACCAGTGTTGCTTTATTTGATATCACCATTTAAATCAGGTGTAAATATTTGATATATTGCCCAGCCTACTCAGGCATAAGCATTTTTTATTTTGTATTGTCCAGCTTTTCTAGGTGAGGGTTTCCCATATAATAAGCAACTAGATAAATCCTGGATTCCAGCTCCAGACTGCCCGACTTTTGCCAGGCTTCAAATATGCATAAACTCCGCATGTGTTCTCAAGCACAGTACGCCATAGTAACTCTGTGGTTCCACTTATGTCAATAAACTTATGTGTGCAAGTCATACAGTATTTGAACAAGGCCGCAGGCTTATCATTTGGTAAATATTAGTCCATATTACGGAATAGTGGGGAATTGTCAACAGTCTCAATGGAACTCACACACAATTTGCAAAACCAATAATAACAATAATACACAGGGAGATAAGGGGAAATTAACATGCTTTTCAAATCCTTCAGTGCATACAGAATGTAACGAAACATTATACTGTAGCAATTGCAAACATGTTTTTAGCAAACATATTGTCGTAATATTTTCTCCTCTGCCTTGTGAAAAGCAAAGCAATCTAAATGTCAAGGCCATGATTGCCTACGAAACATGAGATGATGCACCAATGATGTTTGCATATATTTGATTATGTGCAAACATGGATGATGTTTTGATGCTTTGATGAAGTAGAAGATTAGGAGTGAATAATAACTTCAGTCTGTTCATGAGAAAGTTATCAATAGCTCTCTATTCACTTTAGTTATATGGAAAAGAGCATGCACATTCTGATACATTTCTTGTGTGTGTGTGTGTGTGTGTGTGTGTGTGTGTGTGTGTGTGTGTGTGTGCCTACTTGTGTGTGTGTGTGTGTGTACCTACTTAACCATATTTTGGGGACAAATTTGTACCCAAAAGTGAGCAAAACCTGACAAAATCGCCAAAAACCTCCATTTGGGGACTTCCTCATTTGTAAAACTGGTATAAAAATAAAGTCAACACAGTTTTTTTTTAAATTGTGAAAAAGCAGAAGTTTTCTGTGAGGGGTAGGGGTGGGTTTAGGTTAAAAAGTGTATGTTGTTTTTACATCTGCATGTATAAACAATAGAAGTCTATGTAATGTCCCCATTTAGATAGCTAAGTAAACGTGTGTATGTGTGTGTGTGTGTGTGTGTGTGCGTGCGCGCGCCAGGAAAGACAGAAAACAAAAATGGTTTGAGAAAACATGAGGGTGAGAAAATCATGACCTAATTTTTTATTTTGGCTTAATTCCTTTAACCAGCAGAAAGGACTTTTCATATTTTTAAAAATGTAATATTTCTTTAAAATTAGTCGTGCAGTAATTTTGGTGTAGTGACGTTTCTGATTTATGAGGGAGATAGTTGCATAGACATCTTTTTTTTTTTTGTGGTAGACTGAATGAAATATTTTCCTACTCGCACTAATCTAGACACGACTCACTTCAGTGTTTCTTCACTCTCACTTTTTTCATTTTTTAAATTCATAGCAGATGTCTCCGGAGTTATGTTATGTTGTTACATTAGTGGTCAAATAAACCAGTTGAACAGTTAGCAGGGATGTGATTCTTCCGGATTAAACCGGAATTCCGTATTTTTTGGCCTAAAATCATGACCTACATGAATCATGCTATTTACTGTTTAATATTAGCAATATTAAAAAACAGTTTTTGCTGCTCAACGTTTTTGTGGAAACAATGGTACCACTCAAACATTTGTGATTTAAAAAAGAGAGAGAAATTAATAATTTAATTCTTCTTACATTAAAGTGATGAAAAGTGAGTGAAGACATTTAAAATGTTTCAAAAGATTTGTATTTAATTAATGCTTTAATAAATGTAATAAATATATTTGATAAATGCAAATAAATGCCGTTCATTGAACTTTCTATTATCAAAGAATCCTGAAAAATAAAACGCATCACCATTTCCACACAGAATATGAAGCAGCACGACATTGATAATAATCAGAAATGATTCTTGAGCATCAAATCAAATTGTAATGATTTCTGAAGGATCATGTGACACTGAAAACTGGAGTAATGATGCTGAAAATTCAGTAATAGAGTACATTTTATGATATATTAAAATAGTAAATAAATTTGTATTCATATTTCACAGTATTGCTGTTTTTACTTTATTTTTGATCAAATAAATGCAGCCTTGGTGAGCAGAAGAGATTTGTTTCAATATCATTAATAATTGTAATGCTTCCAAACTTTTGCCATGTACTTTAATAATAGCAATTCTATTCTATTCTATTATTAACAATTTTGTTACATTTTATTCTATTCTATTAATTATTATCATGATTATTAAATGCTGCTTTTTATTTTTACAGGACAATAGTATGTATTATTACAATATAAGATACTTCTTTTAATGTGATATTTTTTATATAATGTTTTATTATATAATACTACATAATATTTATCTTCTTTTTTTTTTAAATAATAAGTGGGCGGCGTGGTCCGATGTTCCTGCTTTTTTCGTCTGTATCTGATCACATGAGTTAGGCACATACACAATGTTGTTACATTACATTGCACTAATCACTGTTCCATGGCTTTTAATCTTACCTGGTGAGGCATAGTGAACAAACTTTATTTACACAGACTTATAATCAGTTATTAATAACTATTAACTGTTAAGGCATTTAAAAAAAAAAAGGCTGTTTATTTTCTCACCCTCATGTCATTTCAAACTCATAAACTTTGGTTAATCAACGGAACACAAATTAAGATATTTTTACTGAAACCTGAGATATTTCTGTCCATCCATTGAAAGTCCAGGTAATCAAAACTTTAAAGATTCAAAAAGTTTAACAAATCCAATATGAATCAAGGGGTTTAATCCAAGTCTTGTGAAGAGATATGATCGGTTTATATGATGTACAGATTTGATTTAGGTTTTGTAAGAGTGCATTGTATACGAGTGTCCCATACTAGAACAATCTTCATTGGTTCTCATGCATGCATGATACACAAAAACCAGTGCACAAGCTTCCATGTGTACTGATTTGCTCTATGTATGTGTGAATAAACAGCTAAATTAAATCGGTGCATCATAAAGCAGATTTTGCATGGACAAACACCACTCACATATTCATCAGAAAATGTCCAAATCTAGTTTAGACCATCATTAGCCAGGTTTCCATCCAACGATTTTTAGCAAAAAAATATTTAGCGCTTAATTTTTTTTACAGATATAGCTGATGGAAATGCCATTTATCGATCAAATTTCTCATGTGTCGACACAATCTTTTTCCGTTTAACTTTAGCGCATACATTCTATGTCGATACTTCAAATGTCCCAAAAATTTGTTTGGAAACACTTTTTGTCGAGAAAAGGGGCTTTAACACAAATAAATGTGGTGTCACATGACAGAATTAGCCTATAGCCAGCGTCCGTGTTCGTGGTGTTGCTCACGTTAAAGCACCATTTCTCTGTAAAAGCGCATTAAATCATATTCATATTATTGTATCTAAAATTGTTTTATATATGCTAAGAAAAAAACGAGTTACCTATCAAACATACAAATCTTAATTTAATGTTGCTTTAATACGTTGCAAGTTAAAATGTATTCATTTCGTTCTGAAGATGAAAGTTGTCGAGTTAGTAATGCTTAACTGCGTGCGTGAGGCGCGGGCACGATCACTTGATTTTTTTTTTCCTTATAAAAGTGGAAACAACTTAAATACTCGTTCATTTGTGGTCATATAAGAATAAGAAATTATTCGAAACTATTCGAAACTTTATTCTAAATATTTCTTTTATTTGTGTACATCCACAATCATTGTCTCCATTCGCAGAAGCGCTGCAGGTGCGTGACCATGTGAATCCTCACGTTCTGTTGTTTATGCTGCTTTTTGCGTGTATAAAATTAATCCCTGGAAAACAAATTTAGATATTTTTAATGGGTCACAGCCACGTATCAATTCAAATTTCATTTAATTGTAATTTAACATGATCTTGTCGGTTAACGGTTAATAATGGCTTAACGACCGTCGGTTGTCGGTTAGGAGAAATAAAATAACCGAAATTAACATTCCTATTTCTAATAGGCTACAGTCTAATAAAAGTTAATCAGAAAAATAATAATACAACTGCACCGGCTTATGAGTATTGCTTGATGATCAAGTATCTAAATAACAAAGTAGAAAAAAAACCCTCATGAAACTTGTTAATAAAAATAATTTTATGTAGGCCTATACAATTTAATAATAGGCTATATAATAAAGTTTTTTGTTTCAAATGTATGAAGAACAGGCGACTAGCCTATATAATTTGCGCAATAGGTGAAATTATGTATGGAAACAGCTCAAGGGCAATTTTTTTTGCGATACACCAAAACTTATGCGACAATTCGTTTTTTTTAGGAATGACGTCATCACGCACACCATTTTATCGGTAAAAGGCCAGTTGGATGGAAACCGGCTGGACACAGCAAATTTCGCAAAGTTTTTTTTTACGCATTTTCTCTTTGTCGATAACAAAACAGCGCAAAAACTGGATGGAAACTTGGCTATTGAATTAAATAAACACTTAAAAATATCATTGCAAGTGGAAAAACATTGATTTTGTATTTGAACTGCTGTAACAGTATTATCCTAATTGTTCATTCTGCCTTGGAGTGAGCATATTACACAAGAGAGTGAACGTGTTATGCAACGTCAGGTTCTTCTCTAGTTTGACTCACCTGGGATAATGATATCTGCTGACAGGCTTCAACTTCCTTCCTTTTTGTGCCATGCTCCCAGACTGCTCTTCATACCCTGGCTACCCTCCCAACAGATACTAAATTATGTCAATTTGTGATCTCATTAACCCTAGATTAGATATGGCGTCCTTAGTTGCCTTTTTCACTACTGAGAGAAAAGACCACATGGAACATTCTCTCTCGGATCAGAACCAACAAGTTGTTATCTCATAAACAAATGTCTCTATAATTTTAAACATTGAAATGTATTTTAATATTAACATTTATTTGAAATATTTTTGTAAAACACAAGATTGTTTAAACAGCTCAGTTACAAATGCTCAGTTTTTAGAGCTGTAATTTTAACAGTTTATGTTGATGGTATTGTTAAACGGGTGTTTTTGCGTTACAGAGAATAAATAAGGAAAATAAAAATGATCAGGGAATATATAGGTATATACGGATTATTTTTGCAATAATAAAACTGTTACAAAAGTTGTTTTGGGTAGTTCTCCATGCAACGCTAAGCTGGTGCGAAATAGTGTCACGCTATCTCCAGATCCACCAGTTTGATTAACACTCACCCACTGAAAATGTGATAAACTTGTTCTAATAAGATATGCACGGCATGGCCCTTAGCCAAAAGATTCCATTTATAAACCTCCAATACCTAAGGTACACAGTACCCTCATTTACAGCAGCTCTAACGGCTTGAACGAGTAGTCTTCTCTTTGCAGCAATGGTTGTCCTGTTCTATATTAAGAGTTTTGTTTCAGCATTTATTTGGAATTGCTATCCTCTTGTTGATTTAGTAAAATTTCTGTCATCATTTACTCGCGCTCATGTCAAGTCGTTTGCATTACTAGTTTAGCTGCTAGATGTAATATCTGCTTTGTCCAAAAGAGTCATTGTTATTGAGCTTTATCACTCTCTCTTTTGCAGATCTTCCTGCTTGCATGTCCCCCCTGTAAAACCGCCATGGTTATTTTTAGGTAAGTACTCAGTAACAGGTTGCACTGCAGAGAACTGTGAGCTTTTTTGATAGTCTTTGTCTTCTCGTGCAATTTAAGGCCCGTCCACACGAAGACGCGTTTAGCTCTATACGCATACATTTTGTATCGTATAGGTGTTTCGTCGACACGGAACCGGGTCCCAGAGTGGATAAATCTGAAAACGCCACCCTTGCGTTTTCGTGTGGACAGCGAATCCGTATATTTTCTGAAACGATGACGTCATCAGCCCACGCCTCGCCCCTAGTCAGACACCGCTACGTCACGTAACAGCAAAAAAAACATGAACGATTGTCTTTTATTAACTAACATTAACACATTAATAAATGTATTGTTCCATGTTCGTTTGTATACCGCGCGCAAGGTTTATGCGCATAGTCCAAGTCTTCTCCGTTTTTAGTGTATCTCTGTGGCAGAATTACAGCGCCACATACTGGTCTGGCATGTATACAACATCGTTTTGTGTCGGTTTTGTGGTTTCGTGTGGACGCAGATATTTCTTGAGACGAGGGGGAAAAAAAGATCGGATAGGGAAAGCTCTGGCTTCGTGTGGACGTAGCCTAAGTCTAGTGACAGTAACTACTGTAGTGTTTGGCCTCTCCAGCATATGAGGAATGCAAACCTATGCGTATCACCAGACTCTTCCTAAAATAGCCTTTCAACCTTTCAACACCTTTTTCTGTGAATGCTTGGGATACAGTGTTGGGGGTAACGCATTACAAGTAATACTTAATTTGGCTTTTAATTTTGAGAATTGGCTGACTGTATGGCTGAGGGTTCATTCACAACCTCAAAAGTGTAATGATTTTAGACTTTATAAATAATAATATTAATAATAACAACTTAAGGTGAGTGTGTCAGATAATTCCTTTTTATATTACGGCCACCAGCCAAGAATTTCACCTTGACAAAGGAACATTGGAAGATTGACATTGGAAGATTGTTGAATAAATAAGTAATAAGTTAAACCTTATTCTGGATTCATGTTTTATTTGAAGGCAAAAGGCATCTGTTTGTTGTCCTCAAAAGCCCGATCACATTGAAATGAAACATAATGACACATAATAACAAGATACATGAATCATTTTTGTTGACATAACTATTTGGGCAGTAGATCTGAGTGTAAGATCTAAGTGTTGCTTGTCATTGGAATTTTAACACAATCCTATCTAATTAGGACATGATGTAAAGCTATTTTAAAGCAATCAGTATTCTGTAAAGCGATACGTAAATAAACGTGACTTGATAATTAATATTATACCACGTTTAATAAGTGATGAACAATTGCTACGATATATACTCAACTAATGTCACATCATAAACATATGCTCTTTTGTAAAGCCTTTGCAATTTTAACAGAGCGGTGTTAATGTCCCTGTTTTGCCTTTTCATTATAATGACATGGTGATGCTAAATTCCTCACAGGAGCTTTAAATGTCTTGAATGTGAGACATGCTGAATTGGTAATGTCACCAGATGGCAATAAATTATAAGCAACCCCAGCGATGACCTGAATTTTAGATTCATCACATTATAAATTGATTTCTTTCAAAATGAATCACATGAGCTTGAATCCTTGCTTTTCTACATTTTGATGTGAAAAACTGCTAGCAAAACTTTGCAATTGGAGTCATTTGCTTCGTTAGTAACTGCTTTGAATAAACATTTCAAAATAGACTGTGACCCTCAAGTCTTAGGTGAGCGTTATACAGCTCACCATTAATTCACCAAAACACCGTCATTACATCACAGATTAAAGGATTAGTTCACTTCCAGAATAAACATTTCTTGATCATTTACTCTCCCCCATGTCATCTCGCGCACATGGATCGTGTAACATTATGCGCTCTCGACATTGTCATTAAGATCACACTATAGAAACCACCTAAAATTAAGTATAAAGAAGAGAAGAATGCGGCCCTAGGCAGCTGCCTAAACATGCCAGGATCCGCCACTGCCAGATGCAGTTAGAAATTTACTAAAAACAAGCCCTATCTCAAGACATCTGGTAGGGGGGGCACCTGGGGTGGCCAGCCAAATTTCAGAGGGGGCCGGTGCCACCCCTGGCCACCACGTAGACACGCCCCTGCGAGGATCTATCTAGCAAAACCATCTGTCATTTTCTAAAAACAAAAAACAATATATGCTTTTTAACCACAAATGCACATTTTGCACTAGCTCCGCGATGCTCGTCCAAAAATTCACTCATTACGTAGTCACGTTGGAAAGGTCATGTGCGGTCAGCTCTTCGTCTGTGTACTCCGGTTCAGAAAGGAAGTGTAGGGTGAAAAACTCCCATCTCACTTTCTCCTCCAACTTCACAATCATACGATTGTGTTTGACCTTTTTTGTACAGGGCGTTTGACTTTCTTTGCATGTTTGCTCTGTAAACACTGGGTCGGTGCTTCCGCCTACATCACGCGTGACCTTTCCAACGTGATTACGTAATGCATGAAGTCCAGCTAGTGCAAGACCAGCATCTGTGGTTAAAAAGTATAAACATTTAAATTGTTTTAAGAAAATGACTGATCGTTTCACTAGATAAGACCCTTATTCCTCGTCTGGGATCGTGTAGAGCTCTTTGAAGCTGCACTGAAAATGTGATTTGGAACTTCAACCTATTGGTCCCCATTGAAGTCCATTATATGGAGAAAAATCCTGGAATGTTTTACTCAAAAACCTTCATTTCTTTTGCGACTGAAGAAAGATAGACATGAACATTTTGGATGACATGGGCGTGAGTAAATGATCAGGACATTTTTATTCTGGAAGTGAACTAATTCTATAACGTGTGTATTACCATGTAAACGAGTGGCCATGACATCAGATGCCCGTTTCCTAGTGCTAATGAGGTTAGCTTTGAGCACAGTAATGGCCTGTTTCAGACTAGCATATTAGAACTAAGTCGAATTCAACACCAGACATGCTGGTCATGTTCCTAATGTGTTTCAGAAAAGAGTTTGAACCAAAATCCAACTGGAAATGTAAAAATGGTGGAAACATAACTGAAAATAATATTATTGCTTTAAAATGTAGTAATATTACTAAACTCTGATTGGATGTTCAGTTCAGCAAATGAGTCAGTGCGTGAGAATTAAAGCAAAAGTGATGAAAACGAGTACGTAAATCAAGACGGCACATTAGAACAGCCTTCTGTCTGTTACGTAATCTTACCCGAGCATTTCAATACGCCATTTTTTCCATAACAACATGAGCCGCTTAACATGAAGAAAGTTATCAACATAACTGATATTCAAAGTTGTAAGCTTACTTGGTGTGCCCTGCAGAGTTTAGCTTTAACCCTAATTAAACACACCTGATCCAGCTAATCAAGTCCTTCAGGCTTATTTGAATACTACGTGGTATGTGTGTTGGAACAAGGTTGAAACAAAACTCTGCAGGGCTCCGGTCCTCCAGGAATTTGACACCCCTGCCTTAAGGGAAACATACAGTGCATTGTATTTTGTAGGCATTCAGTGGGCAGTCCTTAAAGGTGAGCCTCATATACACAGACTCAGAGGTGACAACTTAACCACATCATTTGTATTCCCACAGTCCCCCCTGAGAGATCTAATAACTCTCATATAATGCTAATTTAAACCAATAGTCCATTCGCCCATGTTGTTGTTTTTGTAACATAACCATCTTCCAGTTTTGTAACTTTAAATAGTTACACATGTAACTTTTTCTGTCACAGAGTTTGTTAAAAGATGGATAGTTCTTTAAAAGAAAAAAAAATGTTTACAAATTTACTACGTTTATTTATGATGACACAGAAAACCATGTAGCTTAAAAGTGGAAGCACTAAATGTCCATTAATCCAAAATAAAATCCCTCTTGTGGGCAGGGCTAGCAGTGGTCAGTTCTCATTGGCTACTGAGTTTTGATTGACTGAAGAAAGGAAGACATCAGTGTTGTGTTTATAAGTGTGACAGTGAAAATCTGCAGGCGGTTTAAATTTACAGTAAAACTACATAATTATAACACATCATATGTTGTAATTTAAACTGGGAAAATTTGGAGATATTCCAGATTTTGGAATTTACAGGAATTAAAGGAAATTAATTGGAAATTTGGGGTAATTTTATACAAACTTTATCATATACAAACATAAACATAAAAAGCCCCATTAAAATGTCAGTTGGTACACGTAGCATTGTTATGTAGAATAAGTGGCATTGTTGCATTATGTAAAAAAACAATAATGCAATGCCATGCACCGATATATAAATCGTTAGCTGAACTGTTGAAATATTCTGGAATGGTAAAAATAGTTTACAGTTGATGCTGGACAAATGAATAGAAATAGGCTATTAATTATAGACTAATCTGCAACTTTTGCAACCCTATTTACGAAACATATAGCCATCTATATTGCTGGTGCATTGTAGTTTTGTCTAATGCTATGAGAAGGTGAAGATTGATACTTAAAACAGCCTCCATTCCTGTACATACTGTACGGTGATACCTGTCATGCTCAGTACAAAGAACAACGAACCTATGCTGCATATGAACAAAGTTTATTTGATAACAACAGTTCCTGTAGAAATAGTCCAACAAACAGAACAGCCTTAAATAATGTGTTGTCTAATGAAGAGTTGAGAGCTGGAGTTCTTTTTCAATGCATCAAAATTACACTGGCAGCATGGACAGTGATTATGATATGATTAATAGTTTTTTTTTTTTCTAGTTGCTTTTGACCTATAATAGCTTCAGGTTTTGAATGATATTTCTGATATCTTTCAGTTTGATGGCATTTCTTTGTCAGATTAATAGAATGTCACTGCTTTCCCTTGTTCAGTTGATATTTAGATCCTGTAGTGTTTTAGATGTACTGTTGCTGTGAGCTTTCTGTGTTTTCTGTTTTGTAGGCTTCAGGTCCATATGCTGAATGGAGCCCTTCTAGCGCTTCTCTTCCCAGTAGTCAACACTCGACTGGTGAGTATATTCCAACTAGAGCTGCACGATTAATCGAATGCGATTGTCATGCGCATTTTGTTAAAAAAGCCGGTTCTGTAATCAGCAGTAAATCATCATCACGTGCTTTCAGATGGAGCAGCATTTACTACACAGAGCCGTAGTTCACTGACAAGTTACACAAAAAAAATCGCAGACGATTTTATTGCGCGATTCTGAAATCGAAGAAATCGTTCGCGATAATGACAGCTGTTTGCATAGCTTCTCAGTGAACTACGGCTCTGTGA